GGGGGGGGGGGGGGGGGGGGGGGGGGGGGGGGGGGGGGGGGGGGGGGGGGGGGGGGGGGGGGGGGGGGGGGGGGTGGTGGGGGGGGGGGGGGGGGGGGGGGGGGGGGGGGGGGGGGGGGGGGGGGGGGGGGGGGGGGGGGGGGGGGGGGGCTGTGAAATAGTAAAGGGCTATTAACATTACCTATCGATAACCCCTACTTACGGCACTTATTACACTAAACGCGTAGATTTTCTTTCCCTTTGGTCGCATTAAATGGTGCAAGTCAAGCATTGAAAGGAATGTTATTGACAAATTGTAGCAGCGCAGCGGTGGCGACCGCAGGAAAGAAAAAGACGCCTGACGTTATATAACGACAGACAATGTATCAAACAATGTTACCTGATATCTAAAACACGAAGAACCTTTGGGTTTGTAAACTATTTCGTCACTGCAAGTCCATCACGAGTTGGTACAAATGTCAGGTTCGTCCTCTGTTCAATGAGGAAATGTATTTTACGCAAGAAGCCACGTAGTCCCAAAGCTCAGTTGGGAAATCCGTCTATTGGTAGGGTGACAAAACTCTATTTACGGTGATATAATAAAGACCCGCAAAACCTCTATATTATTTGACTAGAAAGCTTGCTCCTCTTGAGTTACGCGCTAAAGTGGCCAGCAAGTGAATGGAATGCGTTTTTAGTGAGCTTACTGTAAAAGGTCAAACTGCATGAATGATTTCTGAAACTTGCTATTATAAATCGACCCCTCGTGTTAAATTTGATGACTAAAATCTATCCTTCATCCTAAATTTGGGTATTTTGTCAAAATCCCGTTGGTAAAGTAAATTAACGTTTTTGGTAATTCTCGACTGCAAGTTAAATATTGATTTACAGTTGTTAAAATCTTAACCATTACAATTATTACGCTAGCAACATTTAATCGCATTTATTAAATTACGTGATTAATTGTGCGCTTAACTTTAACCTAAGAGAGCAAGTAATTCTCTACTGGTATCCAAATAAAAGTGCCAACAATCAATAAACAACAACAGTTTAAAATCCGTTGAATCGAAGGGACATTTAATTCTCGTTTAGTTTGGGTTGTGTCGATTGATTGACGTTTTCCGCTATTCTTGTAATTGCGTACCAATGTCTTTGACGTGTTCCTCTCTATTTGATAGCCTGGATCGTATCGATTCGTTGAAAATGAATTAGATTTAAAGATATTTGACTTGTAACAGATAATCATTTGACTTCATATTAGCGTCATTTAATGCAAAATTGAAAGTCTTGTTTTATTGTACAAGCTCGACCTTATGGTGAGGCAAAAAGCGAATGTGTTGTAGAATTAATTATAAGAAGCATATCATTCATTAATTAACCATTTTACAATAATAATAATCAGTAATTATGTGGTTATAAACTAAATAATGAGTATGGTGTACTGTCGACGTGTTGGTCACACCGAATATGCGGCTGAATTGTCACGTGTCGATAAAAACTGTAATAAATGTGAGACTTTCTCAAACTCTTTAATTTAATAGAATATATTTATCGGTCATGGTCAGGTTCGATTTCCCCGACATCATTAACGAAATAGTCGATTCTCTGAAGTACGATGTGCATACTCTGTATGATCTGTCCCTTGTTAATCGGAGCTGGTGCACACTAGTGATTCCCAGGCTATGGGCAAATCCGTTCAGCTATACATCTAACGCAGGCGGCCGGTCTGCTGAAGCACTTGTTAAAGTCTATCTTAGCTGTCTACCTTCATATCAGAAAAGGAGTATCAGCAAGTTAATTGATATTCCCGAACGTAAAGTGTCAATCTTCAACTATCCATCTTATCTGAAGATTCTTCCGCTCGATTCCATTACCGATACTCTGTCATATGTGAAGAACCCAGGATCCGACATGAAGAGAATATACGTCGCACTGTTGAAGCTCATTCTTCAAACAAGTTTTGGACTAAAAGAGGCAAGGTTGTTTGAAGAGATACCAGCTGAGGTTATACGATATACAGACTTACCTAATAGTATCAGATCAATCAGTATTTCAACTAGAATACCGAGCGCCAAAGCATTAGTATTTATTTCAAGGCAGGTTCACTTGGAAGAACTTTTGATAACATCCACAACAATTACAAAGATTGAATGTATGACTGATGATATACTGAAACATAAGAATACTCTGAAAACATTATCAATATGCTTGGCAATCTTGCCTACCGAAAATTATCATATAATCTTTAGCATAGCCAGTCAGATGAGAAGATTAGAGAAACTTATGATTAGAGCGTTCTTTGGGATCACTGACTGGCAAATGAAACAGCTTTCGGAGGGTCTAAAGGAATCTATGATTTATAAAAGTCACACTGAGTTATCGATGACATTTATTGCTCGAGGAAATTGAAATCTCTGCGATTTGAATTAGTTGATACAGGTTAATCTATATTGTATTACTATTTGTGTTATTTATATGGTGAGAATCTTGTCTGTACGATATTAACTTAAGTAAAATAAATTATTAAAGTTAGATGTTTGGCCTTAGTAATGTATAGATGCTTACATAAATTACATTTTCCATAATATAACAATATTTAGTATAATGCACGCTGATCCGTCAAAATACAACCATCTCCAAGTTATTAAAAACAATACAGCGGATTATTCATCTGTAGTTTCAGTAGGTACAGGCCAGCATGCCTGCTTTTCTTGAATAATGCGCTTTGCGTCTTTTTATTGACGTGCTTTACATATGCATGACATGCAATACTACATTTGCATAACTCTCACTGGAGGGTGTATGGGCCTAAAGATCATGACTGGGAACCACTCCGTTTAGATTTATGGTTTGAATTCGACTATTGTAAACTGACTTCATTTTAATATCAACAAGTAATCAGTTCTTCTCATCTAACTCTTCCTAACTCTAGGATTGTTTCTTGGTTCAGACAAATCTCTAGTGGGCAAGGGGGTCTGCGTCTTTATGGTAATGATAGATGGTATTCCATACTAATACGTCATAGTATCGCGTCAATCATTATGCTACATGCATGCCAGGATCGACATCAATTAGCAGGTTGTTTATATTCCTCTGGTGCTGAATCAGGCGTTGGTGGTTGTAGGCCATCCATAATCTCGCGTATTAAAGTTATATCAAACTAAAAGTGGCCATCAATACATAATAATACCAAAGTAAAACGCCTTGATGATGTTGTTTTTTTTTTTTGAATCCACCGGTCAAAGTCGCATAGTAAATGATTTACTTGCACGAAAATCCTCAGGCGCGCAAAGCCATGAAGATCAACAATGCATCAGAATTCAAAAAGATCCACCCGCCTTATCCAATCAGCAGCACATTCAGTTTGGAGGCCATTTGGATAAATCAAATCTCGCTATTTTATAACTTGCCGTTTCTTCCACTAGCTGAGATCTTTGCGATCCTTTCTACAGGTACGGCGATCTCTCAAGGCGACGCGTCAGTTATTCTATTGGTCCATCAATGCCTTCCTGAATTTTTAACTTTGTGCCTCATGCCAATTTTAGTTAAAGAGAATAGATTTTCGTAGAAAACTTGGCGAAATGTTATTGGATAATTTTAAGGTCAACTGTTATAATTTAGGCTATTTGCAAAGTCTTAATCGGGTATGATTGATTTGCGTGGAATGCCCTTTGTACTGTTTCCTAAGGAAGGTCTGATGTTACTGCCCTTTTTGGGGCAAGATGAGGAAATATCATTGGCGCATAAATTGCCCCGATGATTACTTTATCTGTGAGAGCAAAAAGACCGTATCTACTTTTCTGCTTGAGAATACCAAGGCTATCTGTTTGCGGTCGGTCAGTCACACATTTGAGATTGGGAGTGGATTAGAATGTCTTCAGAAGCGTCTGCTTCAGCAACAACACCACCTGTACAGGATCAAAGTGCATCGACTACCTTCCTATCGCAGAGTCGTATCAGGCAGGTTAAAACTAATGTCCCTATCTATAAAGACAATTGCGACAACGCTGACAACTTTTATCTTACCTTTTAGACATGAATGGTTCCAGAATGACAATTATGTTACCGTCAGCATTTTTATCAAGAATACCAAGAAAGATGCAACCAGCATCAACTTTGGCAAACAGTCGGTATGTGTACTGCATTGTTATGCTGTTATATGCGCTCAGTTGAAAACTTGCCAATAATTATATTACCCCCTTGATGAGACACGCGAGCAATACCAGAATGTATTACGCACTTACCCCTTTCACTTACCCCCTTCACTTACCCCCTTCACTTACTTACCCCCTTCACTTAGCTGTCAGTTTCAGTTAAACTCCCAGCAGGGTCGGAATATTCTCTTGAATTAGATCCACTTGCGCATGAAATCGTACCAAACGGCAGCAGATATGAGTTATTATCGACAAAAATAGAAATCAAGTTGAGGAAGGCGAGCGTTGGATTGAAATGGGGCGTATTGGAAGGCGAGGATAAATTGGCCGTGTCTATGGGATCTTCTGGTGGTGAGTTGGGACATGCCAAGATGGTTTAGATGTAGCGTGCATTTTACGCTCAGGCTAACTAATCTACCCATGTCTACCACTTTCCCTTTGACTTTTGCCTTACCTATTAATTAAACACATTTTGAAGGCCAGTTGTCATATCCATCATCAGCCCGAAAAGCCAAGAATTGGGATGCGTTGGAAAAGGAAATTTCCGAAGACAAAGATGCCCCAGAAGGGGATGCAGCTCTCAATGCCCTTTTCCAACAACTATATCGCGATGCTGATGATGACTCCAGACGTGCAATGATGAAGAGTTATGTTGAAAGCAGTGGGACGTGTTTGAGTACTAACTGGGATGAAGTTAGGAAAGACAAAGTTGAAACTAAACCGCCTGATGGAATGGTAGCGAAAAAGGTAGAGTGTATTTTGGAATGAGAGTAGAATGATGGATTTGTATGACTGTCGGAACTGATTTAATGAATTTCTTGATTATTTGTAGTGGGATCAATGACGGGCTTTCTCTGTATTGAGAACAATTTTCGTTTTCTGATTTGAATATAAATAGCTGATTAATATAGTATAGTCATCAATAATGGTTAAATACAATTGCGAGAGCCCATATCACATAAATAAAAGTAATGCAGTTTATTGAAACATTTCGTCGGCTGTACTAATGTCCTGTGCCAGTAATTGAAATGCTTACAATGCAACGAGTGGTAGAATTTATAAGGCGTCTTTAGTATATTAATATCGAGACTGGCTTGTGGACGCCGAGTTTCTAATCGCGTAGTTTGTCGAATGAATGATTTTCCATCGATTTCAACAAAGTTCGCGCGCGGATGGATATTTCCTTGTCAGGTATGAGATCGCATGCTTTTCAATTGGCCTTATATGAGAGCGTATCAAATACGTGATACATAAAAGACGAGCAGATTGTGAAGCCGAAATTTAGTTTTGACAAGAATGTGTACGAGGAAGATGGTGGAAAATGAAATGAGAACAATCAAAACATAGAATTATTATACCAGTAAATGTAGGCATGCATTCAAGATAATATTATAATTTCAGGAACGAGATTATTATTGTTATCAAATATTAAATAATAAAGGTTTTGGCTCACTGTTTTCCCTTTGCTTGAGAACATATACGTTACATAATTTGACCAACGTTATCGTTTTATTATATTGACCTACTCTTTATGCTAGCTAAGTTGAAACTTGGATCATAGGAATAAGCAACTTCATACATATTCTGACTGTTTGACTGGATTCCTCTTCTAGCAGTAATCGAGACTCACCAGGGCCAACTAAGTTCACCAGGGCCGGCTGTTAACTGGGGAAATTGTCAAATTAGTGACGTCAATGTTGACTTTTGTGACAGTTTCATTGAATGATCGATCCCATGCCGCTACAATGTCACAACAGCGAAGTCCTCCTCCTATAATGACCGATATTTCGTCTATTATTGGCAATACACCAATAGTCAGACTTAATTTTAATGAGCTAGACGATAAGCCAATTGAACTATTGGCAAAACTTGAGTTTTTGAATCCTGTATCAGGGAGCATTAAGGATCGAGTAGCCAGGAGGATATTGAATGGTGAGTGAGAGACGTGACCGGGATGAGTTTCTCTGTATAGCATTTCATGATTATTCGCCTGATCCGATTTATGAATTTAATGTAGACCTTGAAAAATCCAATAAACTGCACGCTGATGCTACGTTAATAATACCCACAACTGGAAACCTTGGTCAGCTTCATTCGATATCTCTATATTCGCGTTTGCAAATGGCAAATCTCTTAAACTGTTATAACATTTATATTGTAGGCATAGCGATTGCTCTTCTTTCTAAGAAAAAAGGTTACAAAACGCTCGCGGTTATCCCCGAACGTACGTCAAGTGATCGCATCCATCTGCTAAAGACTCTCGGCGTCGAAATCATTAGAACTCCAAATGAAGCACATCGATCTGCTAGTGAGAGTAACTATGCTCTTGCACTTAAACTAGCCTCGCAGATGGTGAATTCAATAGTCATTGACGAGGTAATGTAGTGATTTATCTCTTCAGATGACAGCAGCCCCTAATTTCTGGGAATTCATATTCTTTTCAATTTACATTATAACAGACGACTAGTCTTGACAACGTTCAAGTTCACTATGATGAAACAGCCAAAGAGATCCTTACACAGGTTCGAGGAAAATTAGACTTGTTGGTAGTTGGTGTAGAATCAGGAGGTAATCATCGCACCATATATATTTAATAACTGTTGAAGTGTTATTTGTGTTTGGCTATTGAATGTGGACTAATTAACAAATATGACAAGGGTTGACTAGGAACTGTCACCGGTCTTGCAAAGAATTTGAAATCAATAATTCCAGGACTGAAGGTTGGATAAATTATAACCCGACTGCTTATGAGACTCGATCACTGATGCAGTTTGTTTCATACTATAGGTAGTGGCAGTCGAACCACAACATTCCAGCATTGAGGAAGGGAAGCCAGCTACGCCACTTAGCTTACAGGTAATCCATACTGTTTATCTTGTCCGTAAGTAAATTATGTAAATGTGCATATGTATACTGACATTATATATATCAAAATAGCACTGGAGAGTAGAAGATATCGGAAATAATTTCACTCCATCGATATTGGACACTACTCTAATCGATACATGGATCAAGGTCACCGACAAAGATTCTTTTGCAACAGCAAGGAAATTGATGAACGAGGGCCTAATGGCTGGTATGTCATACTAAATGTCACATTATAAGAATAATATCTAATTCCAGCATTACCAATAAGGAATAACTTATTTCACATTCACGCACTCATTAGGTCCATCTTCAGGATCAGTTGTTAGTGCTGCCTTGCAGTACGTCAATACGTACCTTAAAAGCAGCAACATGGTTCGCATTCTTACGATACTTAATGACAGCGCACGTAATTATAATAGTACTCTTTTGTCCGATGATTGGCTCTTGGATAACGATCTTTTGGATGAAGAAGCAATCCATAAACTGGAATATCAAAGAATTAAGCGATACAGAGCAGTAAGTCAACGGCAATGCTTTACCTCTTTTTTTTTTTTACAAGAAAACTCTTTAATATTGATTGATCCAATACATTAAAGGCTGGCGTCGAAGACCTCCAACTTCCAGCGGCAGTTACAGTCACACCGACAGCATCAATTACACATGCTCTAGAGCTAATGCTTGAACGGGAATACTCTCAGCTTCCTGTAATTGATGATCATCGCAAGTTATTAGGATACGTCTCTCAAGCGTCTCTACAAACTCATCTTGAGGCTGGCGACGCTCACCCTCAGGATCAGGTGGCAAAATGGATGTTCTCATTTGTGGGATCGGGAAGGCAGGGAAAAAGGGCCAAGTATCAAATCATTACGCCAGATACACCGCTATCCGAGCTGGCCAAGTTTTTGGTACGTCCAAGTGTTGAACGAACTTCGACTGTGGTTGTTAGGTTCGCGTGCTAATTGAACTTGTTTAAATCTTATAATAGGATGAACATAGTTTTGCAGTTGTAACTGATTCGGAGCGCAAATGGTGTCTGGGTGTTGCTACCAAATATGATCTAATCAGTTTCTTAAATCGAAGAAATGCAGAATTCTAGTTACTAGTACATTTATTACAAAGCAGTAAATATCTATTATTGTTCAGTTTCAGATTTATGACGTCAATTAATCATTGTTTCCAGTGATTGTTATAATGAAGAGACTACAAGTGCTCTCACTATTTCTGGTAATTAAAGATGGTCTCTACAACTCGATCATCTGATCACAGGTGATGAAATCTAAAAGAATACAAGGAAATAGAAATCATTAAACTTTTGCTGAAGCAATTATTCGGTGGATTATTATATTAGCTAATTTTGCCATAACCGATGCTTGACATTCACCAATCCCTTCAAATTCTTTCGACATACCAGAAAACACAATGTTCTCATAATTCTTCCTCAACCGTGTTCCAAACCTCGTCATCAACGTAAAGGCCTTCCTCCAACATCTCCCATGCCTCTTGTCCGAAATCGTCTATTGTTCTAATAGCTCCAGTTCTCCGTGTTTTTCTACGGGCTTCATCATTCTTTGGTACGCACCTTCCCAGTCCACATGCACGTGCTGCATCTCTGCCAACGCATGTGCCACAACAGAATATCCAGACGAAACCACTAAGAAACAAGAGAGCTATGACAAAGATGAATATTACAAGTGGAGGTCCGTCGTCATCAGCCGACATTTGGATATGTGGGGGAGAAGTAACAGTTGAGGAAATTACAGTTGTGGGAATGGTTCTAAGTACTAAAATAAGGTTTGTGTTACTTACTATAATCGTTTATGCAAACATCCAAATCTGGGGGTTAATATTAACGTTAATTGGCAGGGAGTTCTTTCACTATTACGCACGTTGATTTATGTTCTACTTGCGTATAAATTGTGAATCACCACGTGAAGCCAACCATAATTTGTTCTGTTAACAATGATTAGAGTAATCTTCTTGTTTATTTACTTGGTACGTTTTAATTTAAAGAATCGAACATTAATATTCATAAAGCATAAGAATGGGGACCAATTTTGCAATATTTCAAACAAATTCGCTCATTCAATCAAAGTCGCACTCGTCAATGATAGCTGTTTCACCATCATTGTAGAAATCTCTTATTGCATATTCTCCGTCAATATATTCCCCGTCAGTATATGCCTCGTCAATACATTCCCCGTCAATATATTCTTCTTCAAAGACATTACTATTGAGCACTCCATGCAGAGTCAGGTCGAATTTTTGCTTTAACAAAAAACGCGTTTTAGACTTTCTTTTTACTTTAGCTTGAACTCAACGAGATACATACCAATCGTCTTTCGTCAATCCATCTACCAAGTAAAGCTAGCCTCTCTTGATGTGACATCCGCAGGAAATCTTTAAGAGTCGTAAATCTTAGAATTACTTGCGATGTATACGGATTTATTAACGGCGTAAAGCTGCAGAGAAAGCGCTCGTGCTGTGGTGTTGACGGCAATAATAATGTATTATTAAATTGCCTTATAAACCGAATCAAGTAATTTTAAGAGAAATAAGTATTTACCATAGTCTCGGCATTTTGTAGCAGATTTTCTAACTCGTCTTGTCCTGCATTTAAACAGGATGCGTTGGAAGACTTCTTACTACTTCTATTTATGTCGCCTATAAGTCTTGCTAATGTTGCTGACATCTCTTCATTCGATGAGTACAATACTGTGCTCTGACAATTGTATACTGATAAAGTAGATATCAATTCTGACAATGACTTTTGTATAGGCAGTGTGAACGGATACGGAGTGGCTGATTGTAAAGGCGTTTCATAAGCATTCCACAAGTATGTCTCTAATATCACAAATAAATTAGTGTATTTCAAGCTTAGTCTTGATAAGATTCGAAGCGTTTCATTTGCTTGAGATTCCGTGTCGACAGAGGATAGACGTTGTGATATGTGGAATAACGAATGGTACGTTATAGCTGTACACTCGTCAATTATCAAGTCGGCGTCCACGTGTGTTGATGATAATTCGTCATCAGGAAGAAACGGCTATTGGGAAATAAACGACGATGAAATAATACGCAAGAAAAAAAACAAACATAATTGGTCGTACCCTTAGGTATTCGAAATCTCGCTCAATTAATTCAATTTTGCATTTATCGCTCCTTAGCGTTGCAACCATGTGACGATTTTGTAACAGTCGAGCAGAGATTATGTATTTCAGTGTTGACTTTGGTTCGGGACATATATCTGATATTAAAAGATGCATAAGTCTGCCGTACAAACAGCAGTTGAGTCTGTTTCACGATGAAATAGCAACTTGCCTCTAGCAGTGTTCTCATCCACCGGTCTTTCATACTCGATTCCGAGTGTATTCTTTTGTTCAGTAGAAATTTCGTGTAAAAACTCGAGACTTTGATGAAGGTCTACTGGGGCGGGAACAACTGTAGCACTTTGTTCCTTTTCATCTAATATTACAAGTATTTAGTGATTTTCCAAAATTTGTCGTTTAGCAAAAGCAAAAAGTAACATATTACTGCCAGTAATTAATACCTCGATCTGCCACCGTCATCTCTTTTCTTCCGCGTAGCAGCAGGAAATTGTTAATTGATTTTGTTGCCGAGAAATTATCCGCAAAGAAAATTTGAGAAATCATTCTCCTTCTCGCTAATGGTAATACCGCTGTCTGTTTATCAACACAAGAGCTATTTTCAATACCGTGATCATTTGCATCTTTCTCAGTGTTTGAGGTTCTTTTGGGCGATAAATCATGGGTAGACAGCAGAGTGAAATTATCCGTCTGATTAGTAGTCACGGATTGAGTTGGAGAATCGCAAAGTTCCATTGTCCATGGCGTCGTTTTGCGCGTCAGTTTGGTATCATTGGCATCTGGCTCTATGCTTTTAACCGATGCTCCATCCCCGCGTATCTCATGATCCTTTTCTGGAATTTTATGCACTTGTGTTGCAATGACACCCGATATCACACTCGCATCACTTCCGGATTTTTTTGAACGCGGTTTGGAACTGACTTCTTCTCTTTCTGAAATTAATATGGTCTCTGCCTCATTTTCATCAGGTACAAGTTCGTTCGGTAGCAATTCCTCATATTCACAGCCTATACACATCTTATCCATGTAATCAATTTTCTCGACTTCATCTCCTATAATTCGCGATATTTCGGAACCAGTTGCGCCTTTTATTGGATTCCAAGATAATTCCAGTTCTAGACCCTTTGTTTTGTTAAGAATCCAGAAAGTTGGTGACAATTGCGTAAAAGTTGTCGAAGAGATTAGGTCCACAAGAGCATTTGGTATGTACGGAAACGATGCTCTGCCTTTATTTTGTTCCGTAGCTACACTCTTGGGATTAGGCAAGTTAGGAACTATTAAACAAGAACTGTTGAGTGATAAATATATTAATATTGCAAAGCAAATTTGTATCAAGATTTTACCTTCAAATTTTAGTTTACTGAAATCATCGGCTGTTTCCTCTACAATTAGTTTTTTCCATTCGTTAGTAAACATATTACGATTCATTATTCTCGTAAAGTCCGTATCAAATCCATCTAGGTCATCGTCTAGATCGAACATTGATGCTTTGTCTGCAGGAGCGGCAGCCTTAATTGCTTGATACATTGAATTGGGTCTATTTAATCGCCATTAAAAGGTTTGAATGAATTTAACTACTCTTCGCTGAATTATACAACTGCAGTTAAATACTGTACAAACATTGGTGAATCATTGCCCAGATCCTTGTGACGATTCGTTCGAGGATCGTTGCTTGCGAATACGGGAGATTCTGTAATATCATAGTTATTATTATTGATATTTGTGACATTGGGATTTATGTAATAACAACTTTATCATTTACCTAAATAATAGTCGCACGTGGTTACATTGTCAATACCGGAAAATTCTTCATATATATCATCCTCAGTAAATATAGAAGCAATCTTGTATTCGTCCGAAATCGAACCTTCTACAGTTTATCATAAATCATTAAGGATATATATATATTCCGTCCTAACGTAAAAACTCATACGCTTACCCCATTCATTGTTCCACTCTAATGGTGCTCTCGATCCTTTCCCTTCGGGAACCAATTGATCTAATTGTTCCAAGAGCACTTCTGTATTTTCTGTTTTCGCCTCTTTGCTCACCATCGAGCCTATTTCCCTCATATTCAAAGGCCATTGACTGTATACTTTATCTGCCTTTGCTGGAATCAGAGTTTCTTCCATGACGTGTTGTTCAACGACTAGATTTTCGTCCTGAATGGATTCTACCGATTCATTTTCTTCAAGACCATTGAACAGGGATGAGATATAATGAGCGTCATATTCCGTAATATATGGTTGTAATTGGCTAACGTAACAGAATGTATTGAATAAATTTAATCATTTAGTTGTTTATTTTAGCAAGTGAAATTTGAACGGATGTTTATCATACCACGCCTCTTCTATTGGCAGTGAAGATAGTTCTCTTTTCGCGAATTCCAAAGAGTCTACGTTGTGGATCGGATAATACCTTGAAATTTCGCTCAGTTTGGATATTGTATATTTGTAACACCTTGCAATCTCGTGATTTTTAGAAATCAACGGCGGTTCCATAAACAAACCGTCTAGCCTTAAGTTGTTTACTACAGAATAATGTAAGCTAATATAATTATGAAGAACAAGGAAAATGCTGTCATTCTGCTCACCGTTACAATATTCGTTTATTACTTCATCATCGGTCATTCTCGATTTGCGCGTTATTTTCATAAAGAGCTTAGCAGCGTCCGCATCATCGATATTCCACTTTCCAACACACTGCTTTATCATTAAAGACTCGACAATACTCGAATTATCCGTCAGACGGTCGGATACGTGGTTGATTATTGTGAACGATGGTGTCTCAACATCAGCTAATAATTCCATCGTATACTCTATTATATATTTCATACAGTCAGTAAGTCATAAATAATAATGTCAATAGTGCGAGTCATCGTCGTGAAGTTTGTATCGAATAATAATACCATCTCCTGGTAAATCTATCAACATTGCGCACTGTTCTAGCTCTTCGCGATATGCGTTGTCTATGTCTAATCTGGTCGATGAATCCATTCTCAATGCCAAAAAAGCGCAAATTATGGATAAATAGACTATGAAAACGCGTAAAACTAGTTTTATTACAAGGAAAGTTTCTTAAAATTGTAAATCTAAGTTTACTGTCATACTTTCGCATCTTTTTAAATCACTGCATTACGCGGAGTTTAGTATAATTACATGGCGTATTTGTAATAAATTGATACGCCATTCTATCAGATGAATATCATTATTAAAAGGATAATCATCTAATCTCGTAGTCAAACTTGAGAGAATAAAGTAAAATTTTTATTTGCGTATTCACAGATTTCGTGTTGTTATCAATGTTCAACTGAACTCTCTTTTTCGATTGGCGTTGTAAAGACATTGTAACAAAGTGGCTATGTGATGGTAGAACAGTAATATACAATAACATTAAATTAGCCTGATGTTACACAAATACGTGACACACACCAGTCGCGTCTTGTTAACAATGATCCACTTTCTCAAGTAAACCTGGCAAAAGATAAAGTTCATCTTGTGTACATGTCTGCCCTACGCGGCTGACGCGGAAGTTGCATCCATGACCACGCAACAAAGAAGGTTAGCCGTGAGAAATAAACACGTGAACGTGGATTTCAGATGTTATTGTTGTGACGATAACGGCGATGCCATTTTTACTATATAAAAGGCATATTTTTCCTCCCTCTTCGTCTTTGCCCCTCCCCCCACGCTTCTATCTATATATTATCCTGGCCTCCATTACATTGTAGTGTGCTATTTCCACAATTGCGTAACACGGATCTGGCACGTGAGTGTTATTACTTATAATAATACTAAGGAATATGGAACTTTGCTGATTGTCACTATAAATCCTAATCCGATGCTTTTTTTGCGAAAAGTTTTTCGTTCATGCACGCAGCCGCCTCGCGAAGAAAACCGCCCACTTTCACATTCCCTAAATCTATATATACCTGAACGAGACCAGAAATGGGCGCGCGAAACATTTTATGAAGAGAACTCGGGGAAGTAAAAGAAACGCTTTTAAGGTTAGCCAGATAGTAAGAAACATAAACGAAAAGCGCAGCTCCATACGCCAAAGGTTGATAATCAAATACCTTAAAAAAAAATCAACCCTTTCGATCTTTAGTGGAAGAACCCAGAAGCGAGCCAAGTACTTAGCAGCTTATCGGTGGGGGCGGAAGATGAATATAACTATTATATGGAGTCGGTAAGACGTATGGAAGGATCAAACCCGCCGCTGCGGCACATCGATACAATTGTCGAGAATTTGCGCAGTGCAGAGACGTGTGTGGTGAGTTTGTGATGAGTTATCACGATCCCGCGCAGGAAGAAATACCTATCGAACTCTCGCACGGAAGATGGAACGAATCGGAAGAAGTTCTCGCGAGGAATCCTCGATATAATGTTAGTGTAATACGTTTTTATTTTGCCAGCTCCGCTGAAAATTTATTGACTATATTTTCTGTTATTGAAATAATTAGAGGGGATGTTTGGAAAAATCCAGCGTTTGGAGTTTGTGAAGTCTCAAAGCGAAGGGAGATTTTTTGGCAGCTTAAGCTGAAGATTGAATTCGCTCGGATAATCAGCATATTCACATGTCGGTGCTCAGCAAGAAGTAGAAACATTGTATTTTGGTTTGGACCCGGGCCACCATCCGAACATACAAGTAGTGAAGAATGTTGGCGCAGTCCGGACCTATGTGACGAAGGACGGAGATTATATAAGCAGCTCTTCTGTCACGGATATATCAGCCGACGCAATCCTCCGGTCTTTGAAGACAAAGGAGGAGTATTTGGAACGGTTTTGTCGTTCATTTCCGATGGTGGACGCTTTCCCTCGGCGAAGTCTAGGTATGAAGCGCCGTGACGGATATTATAGTCCCTATCGTGAAGGCTTCGCTAAAAAACTTACCAATAAATAGTTTCGCCTTTGTCAGCACGTAAGTATAATATTATTTACTTCTTTTTTTTCGGGCGACCTGTATTTATATATTTTACTATGTAGAGTGAAACGACAGAGCATAGCCAGTAAAGACCGAGGGGGGAAGACAGGCAAGCGGCCCGACATTATGTTCATGCATGGCAAGGCATGGGGAAAAAATCTATGAACTGATGTTTGCCGAATCTACTGCGATAAGGAGAAGGAAGAAAATGGTTGGGTGAAGTTATGGAGAGAGATGAACGATGGTATGTATTGGGTCCACAAAAGGAGATGATTTTTTGGAATTGTTGGGATACAAGTTGCCAGACAAAAGTTCCATCTGATACTGAATGTTCTACTTAGGAATGAAGATGGGATAAACAAACTTTTTGGAATATGTTTGGTGGATATCCCAACACAGTTCACTGATAAAGATACTGTGTATAACTTGTTGTTGTTGTTTTGTTGTTGTCATCATTATTGTTGTTGAGACATTATTACTATTACAAAAAATCCTAATCATTAACTTATCTTTATTATTAAATGCAGATGTTAGTTTACATAGATATAAAGAAGATAGTTCAACAGTATCATCTTCTCAATATGATAGTGTTATACGGCGAATTTAATATAGTATTTAACTAGCGATTTACGATTAATATTATATTCGACTGGCATTCTAATGTATCTTTAATGGTAGAAATTCAGTCTGGTAATTGGCATATGCTGAACTTATTCAAGTTGTTATCGACTACAACAACACTGCTCGTACACAATAGTTGAATTTCATTACCAGTTGCAACGAAACCAGTATTGCTATTCTAAAAAATAAAAAAAATTCTTGGTAATATTGCTATTTCCAAATATTAGAATAACAAAAATATGATAATGCCAAATTTGGCGGCCAACTTATTTATTTTTCGATTTACTCAAACTATGATTATATATTGCATTCCTTGGTTGTTCTATGAAAAAAGTCTATATCGCATATCGTCAATTAATCAGAAAGTTCATTTTCAGAAACTACGAACGGCTGATCTCAGTGAGGTAATGTCAATGTTCCAACTGCACTTAGTAATTCCTGGATAAAATATAACGGGTAAAATATTATCATAGACAAGCTTATCCATAGGGAAATCGTTTAAGCAATACTTACATCCGACATCTTATCACTTGACCCGATGGACCTCACAAGCCAGCTTATATATTTGGAATGTATTGTTCATGCGATCATATCGACCGCTATTGGCATCGTATATCCGAAAGCGAACTTTACTTCTTTATCGCAATTTTTCTCCAAATACTCAACATCAAGTACTTCTCTTCCTATTCCATTGTTATATGAAGCTATCGAGTAGATTGTTGGTTTGGAGAAAAATTCTAATAGCAACAAGTCGCTCGACTATTAATTACAGTTCAAATCTCCAATCCTCTTACCTCCCGTACATTAGCATTATATATTCTTATCAAAATGATGTATGCATATATGTTAGTCAAGTCATAGTGTATCAATTCCGTATCAAAAGCTAATCAATTGTTTCAGCAAAAAAGAAACGAGCTTATTGCAATCCGAACTGCAACAGTCTCAAGTTCACACATTCGCATACTATTATGACATTATAGGTCTATCCAATAAGTAGTCCAATTATCTTTCATTGGCAAGAAAATATTCTACAGCAAAGTAACTTTGATCGATTAGTAACCGGGTTTCCTTCCCGGATGGAAATTGATGAGCGATCTTCGCAATCTCAAGTAATCAGTCAGCGGGGACCTAGTAACGTATATATAGAATGGATAGGCAAAAGTGTTCAAGAGGGTTCTATCCACTGCTACTCGGAAGGTGACATTAAAGTGGGACGTACACCTATCGCTACTGGTGCATATGGAGTAGTATTTAAAGCAACAATGAAACGCACTGGAATGCCTGTCGCAATGAAAACTTTAGTTCGACGTCCGGGCGAATGCGATGAAAAAAATTTGTCAAAGAGGAGAGGTTATTTGTTAATTTTTCTTGCTTAGTATCGTACGCCGTTTTATGTTATCGATTTATAGCTAATAATTTACATACGATTGGTATGCACAGCTGAAAAACCACAAGAAAGCGAGCGGTCACCCGAATATTATCCGATTTCTAGGTGTCTGTAAGCATACTCGTGTTATCGGAATCTATATCTTTGTATTTCTATACATGACATGTGTATTTTTTTTCAATCTAAAGACGAAGATGACGGTTATCATATGATTTTCGAGTTTGCTAATGGCGGAACTTTGCGTAATCACTTGATCCAACATTTTCGTAGTTTAACATGGGAAAACAAGTACAAGCTCGGTTTGGAAATTACTAATGGTTTGAGACACATACATGAACTTGATATCATTGGTAATCCGTAATTACACTTTATGCTGCTCATCATTATGTAAACAATTACTTACACACCAACCATTATTATTATTATGTTAGTTACAGTCTTCCTTCAATATTCTTATGAAATCAGGTATTGCAAAAATCACTGATTTTGGCCTATCTATGTCCTCATCTATAGGTGAAGGTACTGCAGCATACAGAGATCCTTTATCATTTAAAGATCAATCATATAAATGCAGAAAGAGGTCTGACATCTTCAGTCTTGGGGTCTGCTCTGGGAAATTTCTAGTGGGAAAATTCCTTGTAATGATTGTGCAAGTGTGACAGAATATAGAAAAAAAAAGGCTATTGAGATTCTCCTTTTCCAGAAACACCAGAAATGTATGTTCAGCTATATTCAGCATGTTGGAGTGAAAATCCTGAAGAACGACCATCATGTAAAGAAATACACAAACAATTAAAAATGTTATCTGATAATAATATTAAAAATCAGCATTTGCCAGGTAGAATATTAGATCTTTCTCAGAAGTTGAGAGGTGCAGGAGCAACAACACTGATAGTTGTTTTAAAATCAAACCCTTCCGTTAATTCTTTGATACTCTCTGATAATATGATTGGAGATACAAGAGCAACAGCATTGGCAAAAGCTCTAGAATAAAATTTATCTCCAACTTATTTGGATCTTTGGTCTAATCAGATTGGGGATGCAGGAGCAAATTCTCTAGAATCAATATCAAATTCATTTCTGATTTCTTTGAATCTTTTCCATGATGGTAATATTGGGGATGCAAATTTATCTCTGACTTCTTTGAATCTTTCTGAGAATGAGATTGGAGATGCAGGAGCAACAGCATTGGCAAAGGCTCTAGAATCAAATTCCTCTCTGACTTCTTTGGAGATGCAGGAGCAACAGCATTGGCAAAGGCTCTAGAATCAAATTCATCCCTGACTTCTTTGGATCTTCAATTTAATCAGATTGGAGATGCAGGGGCAACAGCATTGGCAAAGGCTCTAGTATCAAATTCATTTCTGACTTCTTTGGATCTTACATCTAATCAAATTGGAGATGCAAATGCAACAGCATTGGCAGATTCTAGAATCAAACTTATCTAGTTTATAACAAAAGAACAAGTTGAGGAAGAGCTTGCTTTTTCAATGTCTTTTCAGTAAACAGGTTGCCTGCCAGTAAAGATATTTTTCCTGAAATGACCTAATGTTTTATAATAAGTCAGTGTAATAATGACATTACTTTACCACATAGAATCTGTGAAACATGGTAATAAGCTTTAAAAATTTAGTCATTGAATCTCTGCTTAGAAAGCAAAAGTCTCCTCACCCTGTGAGTTGTTTCAGCAATAGTTATTGTCTATTACTATGCTAATTATTTCATATAATGTGAAAAATGATTAAATTGGTGTTTGATGAAATGAAAAATGTTTCTTTGCATCTGAATTCCAATTACTCAATGAATATTTATTTGCAGGGTAAAGCTGCTCATGTGGCCTCCAATTTATATTTTTTTTTCAGAAAAGCAAAGCTTCATTGTTCCTAGGTTTTAATACAATAAACCACATAACAGTGAAAAAATGTAAAGAATATGCAATTGCAGGTGAACCTAAACAGCTTGCAACAATAGGAAGAGAGGGATTTAGCAGAGCTTCAAGTCTCTGACTTATTGTCTCTATCCCTCCAATAGAAATTTGAGCATTGGATTCGTTTGTTTTATATTTTCTGTTGAGCTATCTATTACTATAGAACTATGCTTTTCACTATCAATATAATTTTTTTTCTGTCCCTGCAGAGCAAGTAGAAAATTTATGTGTATTATTTGACTGTGTGGAGAAGTGGATAATTTATTTACACTACTTTTTATTGATTCTGAACTTGGCTTTTTAATCAAGAAAGGATGAAGACTAAACTCAGGTATCCTTATTCTGTGAGTCAATTGCTTGGCTATCATGTGTATTAGAAGTGCTTTCCTGAGAAGAAGTGGATCTCTGCCCTTTGGGCAGCTTATCAGATACTAATTCATGCTGTTTTACATCTCCTCAAACTACAGACTCAGTGGTATCACCACAGAGCAAGGGCGAATCAGATACTCCAGGCTTTGCTTGTTTTTTTTTCTGAGAAGTGGAAGCTTTGAGGCTCTGCCTCTCTGTGGTAAAAATACTTGGCCTTTTACATTTGTGGAGCAAAACTGCTTCTGCGGCCTTTAATGTTAGTTCGTGAGTGGCTTCAAACCTTAAGCGCGTCAGCTCGTTTTTCAACTTATTTAACTCGAAAATTTTTTCTGATACTAATTAATACGTCCTTTTGAGTTAGAGATAATTTGTTCTCTAACATTTTAATTTTAGATTGAAGCGATTTTATTTCATTTGATTTTTTTTGATTTCCAACTTACACAATTTGCCTTTAGGAGATAAAATTTCGGGAATTTTTTTTTGACAAATCTTCTTGAGCTGAAGCAATTTTTTCTTCCAACATTTTGATCCCAGATTGAAGTGATTTTATCTCTCTTGATTTCACAGTAATCTCGGCCTTGTATTAGGTTAAAGAAATATCCTTATTAGAATTTTCAATC